TTCAGTACCTCAGAAAGCATCACTGACTGAAACTCTAGCAGAAAAGATGAGGCCCTTGTTCCCTCAAGACCTTGCACTGCCACCACAGAAGCAGACAGCTCATCCCTACAGTGATCCCAATAACAAGCAATATCTTCACAATGGGAGGGAATCAGATAAGCTACCAAGTCAAGACAGTGGTTTAACCACCCAAAACAAATCCGCGACCTGAGATTTTGCAGATTTAGAATTAACCTAAACAAGGACAAGGCTCTTGTCTTTCTGAATAAGTTTCCATGGAGTTAATTAGCAACAAATCCATTTGTAGGAAAGTCCTAAATGTATCAGCTACTATGGGGAGAGGAAACCTACTCCTCAAAAGTGTACAGCCGGACTTGAAAATCTAATTCCTGAAATCTTCTGCTGCTGCTTCTAATGAGGGCAGAGGGGAAGGAAGGAGAGCATCCTACGCCTCAAGAAGCAGAATGATCCAATGGTTAAGAAACTAGCTTAAGACTTTAAAGACCTGGGTTCAGGTCCCTGCTCTACCACATCCTTCCTCTGAGATCTTGGGCTAGCCACTTGGCCTCTCTGTGCCATCTGTAAAATGGGGATTATAGTACTTCCCTACCTTAGAGAGGTAGGGGGAACAGTGAGCCATTTAGATACTAAGGGAATGAGGGCTACAGAAATACAATATAGAGAGATAAACCTAAACTTGTGGGGGAAACTGGTCAGGGTAATTGATCCTAGATAGCTTGCTGGCAAGTGGGCCAGAACATGGTAGGGATGGAGGCCAATTTAATTTGGGCCCAAATAGCTCTGAAACAGAATGAGGGTGTGGTTATACACTCATACTACATATTAAACATGCTGTCCCTCTCATTCATATCAAGTAGTATCTCACTCTGTGAGTGATCACGTGTATTGTTAAATAATAGACTGCAAATTAGACTACTCGTGGAGAAAGGTACTCCTCAATATAAATAAGAGCAACAGAATCTGGCGCTGTTCCAAAAAACAGGAAACATGTAGATTACTATTGGTGTTATCAGTACATACAGTCCATTAGATTTTATAGACCATATTTACGTACAGTACCATATGTAACAACGATTCAAGCCTACACTCTTCTTTTATAAAAAGAAGAGTCCACGTAGACGTCTAGAATTAGTTTATTTACCTACAAGATGGTATAAACCAATTTGCAAATCTAGAGAAAAAGAAACCTCTGTCTGAAAGGAGATTTCAGTTTTAGGTTTCTGTAATTTACCCATAACAAAACAAAGACAAAAAATGTTACTCACACCCACACTCATGAATGTGTCCCTTTGAACAGAAATTCAAAATACGATTGTCTGCTCCTTCCCTACCCTGAAAAAGTGGAACTTGTATTTTGAATTTCTGTTCAAAGGGATGCAGTCAACTGTCTGCTACTTCCCTTCCCCCAAAAAGTGGAACTTGAATGCATCCCTTTGAACAGAAATTCAAAATACATTTGTCTGTTCCTTCCCTTCTGTTCTTTCCCTTCCCCCAAGTAAATGGAAGCTTCACCTTTTTAGAACCAAGATCTCCACAAATATTTTCCCACATAGAAGCACATGGCACCGTCGAGAAGACAATAGCTAGGATAACAACTTATTTCATACCTATAATAAATAAAACAAATAAAGTACTGTGCAGACGTTTCATGTTCACTTGTACACAAGATTTTTTTGTTCATAGGCTTTCCCTATGGCTTTCTATCCTGTGCCATTGTTTAAATAAAAAGTTATTCTTTGTAGTCTGCTATTCTCAATATGATTCATCTGTCTTATGATCCGTGTAAGTTTAATTAGAAAACTGCTTATAATTCACCCAAACTGTATAATTGAAGAGGAGGAAGGGCAACCATCCCTGAGAGTTTAAGTGCTGCATAAAATGCTTTCAGTGAAAATTTACTGTGAATGCATGTTTTCATTTTCTAAAATATATAATTTTAGAAAGTTTCAACAAGTAGAGTCTATTAACAACAGCTACAAGACATTATTTTTTGTAGTCTCACCAGGCTTACTTGTAGCAACATGGAATGCCTAGTTGCCATGACATAAAAAGAGACCCTCAACAGTTCCCCTCCAATCTTTTTTCTTCTATGACTACTATCTTTATCTCTGAATAAAGGTAAGTTGATGACACACAACCCCACCAAAAACTCAGATTCCTAGGGGACTAAATATCTCAGAGTACTGGTAAAGGCCTTTTACTTCATTTCCAGTTGAAATTCCAGCCGGATAGGTAATGATTAATAGCCATTCATAACCTTCAGATGAGTGTGCAATGGGCTGCAAGAAAGGAAAGCTCTCAGTCAAGACTGTACCAGACATATGTCCAAATCAAAATTGCTACTCTTGTTGGTAGACTTAGTAAAGAGACAGAAGTTTAGATGGACATAAAGTCTGAACTGTTCTATCATCACTGGAAACTGTCCCTCCAGGATACAGTTGAGGCCCATTGGGAAGCTGCTGCAGAAATTTAAACTGTTGCTTCCTGCATTGTACTTTTCTTGACAGGAGGCTTCCTACTGCCAATACTGCTAGTCTGGCACTTATGATCAGCGCAACCCACTTATTTTAAAAATCTAGGGCCAATGTATACTACAAAATTTACTTGCTTGGGATTTTGAAATCAGATGCAAATAATCGTTATTCAGATTTGGATAATTTGCTTACCGCATGGATGGGACATAAAACTTTCTTAAAAGTTTCTGAAAACCACATTAAGACTTGACTTTGAAAATACACTCCTAATATGATCAGTTTTGTAATATACAGGAGCTTTCGATTCTTGAGTGAACAGAGGTAGAGTATCAGAAATTCCATCTGTTTGAGAAAAAAATCTCAGGGGCATGAGTTCACTTCCAATATTAGGTATCATCATGAAAGAAGACATTCACTTTCACAGGTATTCCACAGGGATGACGTAGGTTCCATCATTATTACAGGTTTCAAAGATCAATTTCACTATCCGACACCTCCCCTGCTGATAGGCTCTGCTATCCTTATTCGTATAGGTTTCAATGGAATGACTTGCAGAGTAGGATACTACTCAATTTAAGTAAGGGAGTTAGAAACTGGGCCAAATTCATCCAGCTCTCATAGGGCCAGATTCTGACATCCTCACTTACATTAAGTATTCATATTTAAATCAATATCAATTGAGGAGAAAGATATTAGTCAACATTTCTAACTATAAGGGTAATAACTGTATGAGGCTTTCAATAAGAACACCGGTCAGGGATGGTCTAGGGCAGCATTTCTCAAACTGGGGTCCACAGACCGAGGATACCCCAGACCAGGAATACCCCAGCCGGCCCTGCTGATCAACTCCTTCCCCTCCCTCCCAGTGCCTCCTGCATGCCAGGGAACAGCTGTTCAGCAGCATGCAGGAGGCGCTGGAAGGTAGGGGAAGGAGCAGGGATGGGGTGCGCTCGGGGGAGGGGGTGGAATCATGTTTGGGGCTGCCGGCCTTGCTGATCAACTCCTTCCCCTCCCTCCCAGTGCCTCCTGCATGCTGGGGAACAGCTGTTCAGGGGCATGCAGGAGGCACTGGGAGGGAGGGAGAGGCGCTGGGAGGGAGGGAGAGGAGTGGGGAGGAAGTGCGCTGGGGGGAGAGGCAAGGAAGAGGAGGGGCAGAGGTGGAGCAGGGGCAGAAAGAGGTGGGGGTGTGGCCCTAGAGGAAGGGATGGAGTGGTGGCGGGGCATAGGGCTGAGCAGTGGGGGCTTGGAGGTCCCTGAAAATTTTTAAATGAAAATAGGGGTCCTCGAGTTGCTGAAGTTTGAGAACTGCTGGTCTAGGGCATATGCAGAACTGCTGGAACATGCAGGTTTCTCTGCACACTTTTTCTATAAATTTCCACTAAACAGCACATGAAATAAGGCAATTACAAATGCAGCCATCCACACCTATGGAAGAAGAAGAGATTCTCTTGGAGATACTATGCCTGACAAATCATTATCTACAAGGTCAGTAAAATAGATGGAAAGGATTTTAACTTTGTACTATCATTGAAGGTGAAGGAACTAGGCATTTTAATTTAGATTGTAAATTTTTTGGAGCAGGGAGTATAATTTTCTGTGTGTGTGTGTTCAGTACCTAGCACAATGGGGCCTTGACTTAGGCCTTGTCTACACTACAGGGGAAATTCAATCTAAGCTACATAATTTGAGTTACGTGAATAGCTTAGATCTATTTATGTCTCTCCGTGGACTCCCCCTACTCTTCTCGATCTGGTGGAGTACAGGAGTTGACGGGAGAGCAATCTGCGGTCGATTTAGTGGGTCTTCACTAGATCCGCTAAATCTACCGCCGCTGCATCGATCACCGCTCATGGATCCCCTGGTAAGTGTAGACAAGCCCTTAGTTAAATTCTCTAGGCACTACTGCAGTACATTTTTTTAAACAAATAATAATAATTTTAAGACCAACAGGAGGATGTCACAGATATAATATTAATTATGCCAACACATGACAGCTGGTAAGAGGAAGATTTGGAGGTGGAAAGACAGTACCATGCATTTCTCCCTATTTAGGGCCTCACCATCAGTGTTTCAATGTCTAATTCAGCAAAGACTGGAAATGTGTTTCAGAATAAAAGTAGGTCTTGAAGATACAAATAAATATTTGTTTAGTGTGAAAGTGTGTGACAGTCTGCCAAGGTGTGAATGTGTGCGTGTCAGGGTGAGAACGCAGGGGGCGTCAGTCTGTCAGGGTTTGAATGTGTGTGTCGGGGTGTGAATGTGGGGGTGTCAGTCTGTCAGGGTGTTAATGTGGGTGTGTATGTCAGTGTGAATGTGTGTGTCAGGGTGTGAATGCGGGGTGTATGTCAGTGTGTCGTGGTGTGAATACGGGTGTTTGTCAGCCTGTTAGGGTGTGAATGCGGGGGGTGTATGTCATTGTGTGAATGTGTGTGTCAGCCTGTGAATGTGTGTGGGGGGTATCAGTGTGGATTGCCAGAGCCCGGGCGCTGGCTCCCTGTCACTCACCGACGGTGGCGATGTAGGAGGCGGCGCGGGGCGGCCCGGGCTCCGTGTACCTCCTCACGATGGAGGTTTTCCCCACGCAGGACTCCCCGGCCATCACTATTTTCACCAGCAGCGGCTTCCCCGCGGAGCGGTGCCCCGGCCCAGCCATGTCCCGTCCGGGGGGCCGTCATGTGGTCCCGGAAAGGAGCGAGCGGCGGGAACACCCGGCCTGCGCAGAACCGAAACCGGCCGGGCCCAGGGGCACCCCGGGGACAAGGGGCGGTTCCTTCCGAGCCTCAAGGACGGGCAGGAGGGACCCGCCTTTGTCGCTTGCGGTTGCAGCTGCCCCGGGACTCTCCGGCCTTGCAAAACAGCCGCCTGCGCTGCCCCGCACCAGCCGCTTCCCACCGCCCGGCTGCGTGTGTGAGCGTC